GTTTGCGATTGACAGTTCGCCAGCAAATTGCTGTGCATAGTGTCCTCAAGTTCTCAGTCACATTCACCCCTGACTTGTCTCCAATTTGAAAATGCCAAGCTGGTGATGGCCAAATTCGAAACTTGGGGCTTTGAGATGGTAGCCTACAAACCAATAGGCGATGAGTCACTATGTCCATCTTTTATGTATCATATATAGCGCTGACTCCAGTTAAATGCTAAAAAAGTTACACCAAGCAGTCTCCATAAGGTTGGACAATGTCAAAGTTATGAAGTCTGTTCCTTCTGTTTCTAAAAATATGCATTACGCCCGGAAAAGGCTTTTGATGGAGCACTTTTGAAAGTAACACTAGCAATTGTTAAACGAATGAGAATTTGGTTGGATGAGAGCAAAGTGACCAACCAATCAACATGGAGACTGACATGGAACCTGATTATTCTTGTGTAAAGAAACGTATTGATGAATTTCCAGGAACTCATTTGATAAATAATCATCAGAAACTGTTTTGTTGGCAGAATTTCCCTTCACAGCATTCAGTTAGGAGACAGTTCTCACCCCGCTGTAATAAGATAACTGCAACAAAGACAAATAACAAATATCTTGACCGTTGCATCATTTGTTGCAGGTAATTATACAGCAGTGTCACAATTAACTCAATAATAACAAATTACAGTATTCCGCTCTACAAATTACTAACAGCCGGATCTTTGACTGGTATTTTTAGTAACTCTGCAGCACTGGGTGAAGCCAGTAACACCATTATCCCCACTGTGCATAATAAGGAGGCTAAACTGTAAATCAAACAAATGTAGCAGAATCTATCAGAGTGTCTGAGTCCACAGAATGATTATCAATGACAATGGGAACATACAACAACATTTGTCCTCGTCCTCCCTCCAATTATCCCCATCAGCCTTTCTGACAGCAGCACGCCGAGTCGCTGAATGGCCTAATCTCTCTTCACAAATTAGCTCTGTCTCTCATCTCCTCTTCCCAAATGTAAGCTATGCCCTTAAATGTCACATGGTAACACTGCCTATTCATAACCATTATCTCAGGGCCTTTGATAATGGAGCGGAACAGGGGGCCGAGAAGCAAAAAGCGAATAAAGACACTGGGAAATGTAAAACGGGGGGGGTGAAAACAAGCGATGCGGTTCGATCTCAGAGTCAGAGCCCTGAGCTATCAGAGCCATTGATTGGCTCATGTAATTCTGCTCTGATTTGGCTTGGCCAATCAATGGGCTGCAAACTGACTTCCTGCAACTGTGCAGCCATTAGACTGGCGGTGAAAAATCCCATAGTTTCTTCTGTTCCTGGAAATATTCCGTTTACTCCCAACTGCACCTCTATGACAGGACAACTGCTGCTCTGTTATTGCATCGGTCACTGTACGAGCCATTTTCTGTCTTGGTGGATCATTTCAGGGTCTGCATCGACCGGCTGAACACAAAAGACTGTGTAAACTTGTAAGTGATATGGAGGATTTACAGAAATAAAGTTGTTTCAAATTCTCAAACTCTGGTCTGTTATTATGTGAGAGTGGCCACTTTTGTGTAAACTACTGACAATTGCTTTAGTAGATGACAAAAAAAAACACTTGAACACTTGTATTTCACATTTAAATACTTGAAAAAAATGTTAATTTCACGTTAACCTCCTATACAGTTCGACCTGCCATCGAGCTTGAAAGCCATTTATTAGAGGTAGAAGTGATGAAAACCAAAAGAATGATCTGATTTTCAACTTTCTGGTGGTCCATGAACTACTTATCTGCGACATGCCATTTAATCAGGGAACCAAATCTGAACCTAAAATCGTGATATTTCCCCAAAATCTCTTAATTCTGCATGTTTCATTGAAAACTTGGCCAAAATACAGCTTTTTCAGCATAAAACTATAAAGAGTTGAATGCTCCTGTGTGCTACTGTGAAGCCATTAGTGACTCAGCTGCTACTAGCAGTCACCTGACAAGAATCCATAACTTTTTGGCCGAACTGCAGGCTGTGTATGGAAACAAATTAAAAATGTAAGTAGGAAAATATCTACTGCATGTAGAGCCACCATTTCTTTTTTTTTTCTACCATTGGGAACACTTGTGGACACTTAGAAAAATGTTGGACATTTTGTACAAGGTTTTTCAATTTTTGTTTTTTCTTTTTTAATAATTATGGTTTTATATCTGTGTACAGCACAAAAACGTACTGTTTTCATAGAGGTGCGGGACTTTCTATTGCGGTTAAAAAAAAAAAAAGATCCCACAGTGAAAAATAAAAAAAATATAAATGAAAGAATGCTCAGAAATATTCTGGGGTTCAGAGGGTTAAAGGTGGAGTCAGATATTCTTATCCAATGCACTTCATGTCTAATGTTAACAGTAAATGGGGTAACAGATGAATCGACTTGGACTACGGCTTCACAAATGGTTATTTTCGTTTTATATGCTGATTATTTTCAATAATTGATTAGTTGTTTCATCTTTAAAATGTCAGAAAATGAAAAGTGTTTGATTAGTGTTTCCCTAAGAAGATGCTCTCAAGTGTCCACAAAAGAAAAATCTTTAGAGGAGGGAAGAAAACCGAAAATATAAGAAGCTACAATTAAAAAAATGTAGACTTTTGTTTCTTGACTCAAACCGATTAAAGTCAGTTATCAAATTAGATGAGGATTAATTCAACAGCTGACAACTAATCGATCCATCTGCAGCTCAGCCTGATCGACGCTCTTCCAGCTGCAGAGAAAAGGGGGCAGACACATGCTAACTATGCAAACATGCAAACTGAATAAACAAACAATCTCCCTGCACAATCTCAGGCTCCACCTTTAATATTCATGCTTTTCCCCACAGTCCACTTGAAAAGCATTGAGGGTGTCAGCTGTACATTAATGTATGTATGCATCACCCTGCAGTTGTTTAATTGCGTATCTTATATTCATTTCTTGTGCTCATAACCTACTTTTTCTCGCATTATTCTATCTGCTGCTGGCACAGCTCATTTCCCCACAGAGATCAATACAGCGTCATCTACTGTAATTTCATCTTGGAGGCCATTAATAGGCAACACGTCACGGATACATCAGTTTTAGCTAGAAAAGCTGAATATAATGTTACCGATGCTGTTTGTTTGCGGGCAGAGATTAGATGTTACTCGATTTAATGTGATACAGCTGAAAGTGTACCTACTGCGCAGAGCGATGGAGGCGAAGATATCGCATGAGATGAAAGGGACAAAATTACTACGCGCTGCTGAAACTGTATCTCAGTTCAATCTGAACAAACAGATGTATTTAAGATATATTTTGTTTTTAATCAAAGTCAGTGAACTTCATTATCTCTACATGTGCAGTACAGACAGAGAAGTTGAAATGCTGTTTCTCAGAGTCCCACAGATGTGTGTGTGTATATATATATATATATATATATATATAGACACACATATACATATAAAATGTAAAATACAATGCAAATAGTGCAAGTGTGCAAAATTGTATCTGTAGCAGCATATTGGGAGAAACCAGAAAGACCTAATTTTTTACATTTATATTTGTTTTCATTTTGTACTGTTCTAGGAGAACAGAATTTTGTTATTTTATGTATGCTAAACTAATCTCAAATTCTTGAATATTTCTGTTCAGTCGTACGTGTATTTCTGTCGATAATGTTTGGAGCGAACACCTACAAGAAGAGGCACAACATGCTTGGAAAACCTGACGAACAACACAAAGAGGAAGAATGAGAACGGTTTCTTCAGTATCAAAATGATTTCAAGCAACGGTTAACTGTACATCAATGGGTTTATGACAAATAGGAGCCACTTATCGATAATTTGCAAAATTATAAAGGTGCAAATTTCCCAAAATGTGACCGTAAAGCCCCCTGGTATAGTTTAAATACTTACCGGAATCACAAGCTAGCTAAAGGAGAATACGTTGAGTCTTTTCAAATTACTTCACTTTCTTAATATGATCACAGAATGCTAAAAAAGTCTCTGATCATCTCACAGAAACACAGTTCACCCTCAATTACCACACAAACATAAAAGCACATCATTCTCTGCCTAATTTAGCCATTGATTTTTTTTTTTTAAACACCAGATCACACCACAGATAGCAAAGACATCAGGCTGCAGTGTTTTATGGTCTTTGCGGGAAACTCCCACCGCCCTGCACACACACACACACACACACACACACACACACACACACAGAGAGAGAGAGATAAATATACATGCCCACACTCGGACGAGAGCGAAAAAGAAGGAAAGAAAGAAGATGTTTCCTCAGGGATCATCACTAAAAATCACTGCCCGCTACTGTTCACAGATCTAACCACGGCAGCGAGTGTGTGATTGTTGTTCATCTGTGTGTGTGTGTGTGTTTGTGTGTGCAGCTTCTGTCCCCTTTGGCGTGTGTGGTTTTGCTCAGATCAGATGTGAAACAACAGCGACAGTTACTATGCAGCAGACGAACACTGAGCAGTTTGCAAGGAGACATACAACCTAAATATGTGTCGTTTTTTTTTTTTGGGGATGATGTTTGTCATGTAAATATAATTCAACCAGATTATTTACATCATTAGTGCAGCTTCAGTAAAACTCTTATTTATCGCTTTTTTAAAGGACTTTAGTGTTAAACCTGAGAGGTATGACAAACTGCTTCTTTAGGCACAAATTGTAAGCTCTTCCGGGACTTTATCGGAATGAGAACTTGCACGATTTTGACAGTTGACCGACAGCTTTCAGGAGATTTGCTGCAAAACGTCCAGTCACTACTAACTGCTCACTGAGTGTATGAGTTAGGATTTTCTGTGACCATCAAAGACTAGAATCTGCTTCATCCAATGGAAACAGTTCGTTAGTGCGCTGTCCAGTCTTACAGTATTTCATATTTTTCCAAAACACTGTCCAGAATTCAAAAATTGCACAATTTGCTGCACAAAAAACTTGTATTTTCCGTTTTATCACGATCGAAACCCAAACACAAGAGGAAGACCGGACTTACAGGCGTTGGTGACGGCGAAGCTGTTGGCCGTCTCGATATTGTCCACGTGAGGCACCAGGTTGAACGGGGCTTCTGAGGCGTTCGGGCTGGTGTTGTGCAGGAAGATCGCCAGACGGAAGGCAGTGTACTCCTGATCAGTGTTTCTGATGAACAGGCCGCCTGGACAGAGGGAGGAGAAGGTTTAACCTCATTACAAACAGTTCCGTTATCACTGATTATAGCACAGAAACATGAGCCAAGTGGAGTTAGCCAGAAAACCACTGAAACAGTTTCACCACTGCCTGCACATCCTCACGAGTTTAGTGCAAGTAAAGAGAAGAAGAGAGCCAAAGGAAACAGTCATTTATTAGTGCATGTCATCATATGTGTGTTTAACCAGATTCAGTGCCCACGTGGTCAGAGTAGCTGCTCAGCTGCACTGTCATGAATTACTGTAAAAAATGCAGCCAAATTCTAACAGGAGTGTTTGGTTTTTCTAAAATACAGTTTTAAAATGGAAAACATCAAAAACCAAAAAGACACAAATAGTACAATGAGACAACATGACAAACACAAGACACAAAACCACAGAAAGGAGACAAAGCGATCTCAAAAAGAAACAAAACGTTAACAAGACAAAACAACAAAACAAAAACGAGATACAAAATGGACACAAATGACACAAGTGACACACAAAAGTAAAATGACACAAAATGACAATAACGAGACACAAAATCACGCAATTGAGATCCAAACTGAAAAAAAAACAAGACAAGACGACACACATGAGAGACAAAACAAGAAAAATGAGACACAAAACGATGCAGACAATTAAGGCAACAACAAAAAATGGCACAAACAAAATGGAAAAAACCAAAATATGACACACAGGACACAGGCGTAACAAATGAGACACAAAAAGACAAAAAACTAAACATGAAATGACACCAACAAGACACAAAGTGACACACTGAATGAAAAATAAGTCACAACATGACGAACATGAGACATGAAAGGGGACAAAACTGTCTCAATTTGACAAACAAAACGTCCCAAACAAGACAAAAGAAAAATGAGAAATAAAATGACATAAAGAAGAGACAAAACAACAAAAAGAAGACACAAAATGACACAAACGAGACACAAAACAGCAAAATATGGGACAAACGACACTGGCGAGGTACAAAAACAAACAGAGACACAATAAGGACAAAAACAAGACACAAAAGGAGGGAAAAAAAGATTTAAAAAATGAATAAATAAATGGCACAAAACAACACAAATGAGACACAAAACTACAGGAAATGTTGATCGCAGTGGCAGAACAATGTAAATACAGTATATAACTGGACAGTCTAGTTACAGTAATAACCAGTAAACCTCGTGTTCTGCTGTATAATACTGTTATTAACTATTAATTATACAGTAATTTCCTGTTTGAGTAAATTACAACTGTAACAATGTTAAAAACACAAAAAAACAGTAAAGTACAGTCAACCACAGATGCCTGTATTTTACTGTGATTTTACAGGAAAATGTGTTTCAGTGTGTGAAGGTTTCAGTGGGGAGAATGAGAGCAGAGGATTTATTTACATTTTGTGTGAAGAAGGACTTCAAATTTCAGATCACAGTTAAATTAAACTCCTCCTGCTGCGCTGACAGATGCCTGGAGCTTCCTCATGGGTCTGATGGGAGTGGAGGCAGCGGACTAATATGGACTCCAAACCAACGAGCAAAATATGTAGGGTTTTTTTCCCTTTAAAAGTGGCTAACGTGAGTGTTTTCTGCTCCGACCCACTTTTAACAGGGTTACAACCATGTGGTGACACCTGAGCAAGTTTCATTCACTGAAATAAAGAATTTGCATGTTGGGACTCAAAGGTGCTCCGAGCTAAATGCTTGTGTCTACATACTAACATGCTCATTTTGTCAATGCAACACCGCTGACATTCAAGTGCACAGATTTCCATTTTTTACTGTAAACTTCCACTCCCCTACATTTCACAGAGGGACATTGTACTTTCTACCCTACAAGTTACATAGAAAATGAAGACTTTGCACAACAAGCCTTTGGAATACAACAACTAGTTTCCAACCTTTTTGGCTTCTGTCTTTCAAAAAGCAAAGTGTATTCAAACTCATTATTTAAATCTTTATAATTTGTTAACATCTCCATCAAATACTGACGTTTTCCCCTAAACTTCTTACATAGTTTCCTTTCAATAATGATTCAGTGTCTCATCGAAAATCAGAGACTAGAGAAAAAAGTCTAAAGTCTGAAAACAGATTTTTGTATTGGAGCTTTGTTTTTTTCTTCTTCTTCTTCTTCTTCTTCTTTCTTCTTTTCTTTCGTGATCATGTTAGGAGACCTCAGATTTACGAATTTAAAGCTAGATATAAAGTTGTTCAAACCTGCAGCAGCTAGAACAGTTTTGCTCGAAGCTCTACATAAAAACACCAGGATCACAAAGTTAGAATTATTGCTGCATAGATTCTTCGCGCAACTCGATCACTACTCAACTTCACCGTTTGCATGAATTAGTTCAAGATGAAAACTCTTCACAGTATTTCTGTTGCAAACTTGAATTAGCCAACTATGACACCGCAACATCAATCCTTCAGTATCAAGGCAGAAATCATCCCGTCGACTCATTCGGTCCACAGGATCAAGTCTTGTTAAGTTCAGAGTCAAGTACAGAACCCTTCAGATTCAGTCAACAAGCAACATACTGACCACAAAGATAAAAAACTAAAGCTGTGATAGTTAAACCACAACAACACAGCTACCAGGCAGATTTGTGTGACAAATTAACTGGTTTGCTTCATACTCTCCCAATGACATGCTGTCTACTTTAACTAGCTAGCCGCTAACATCAGACGTTTTTTTTCAACCTCAGTAGATTTTGATAGAGGTTTTTAAAGTAACTGGAGGATATCAGAATCAGCTTCTTTATCTCCTCTGAGTAACTCTGGACACACACTTCTCCAAACACATTCTGATGTTGTGAACATTTAACTCCAGTGGCTGATTACCTGTTTTCATTTTTCATTGTCTTTGTCTCCAAATATCGTGAAACTTTGTCAGTTCCAGTTGAGATGAAAGAATAATTGCAACTTGAAAACAATTTCTGAAGACTTCTCTCAACTTTTCTCTGACAGATGGTCAACACTTTGTTTCTTTCTATCTTCTTAAAGGATTTTTGGGTGGTTGGCAAGCAGCTGGTTTTGTCTGGTTCTTCTTCTGCTCTGTTTATTACAGGTAACAAAGCCTACATCGCTACCTTCTGATGACACTATGCAGCCTAGTTTATGCACAGTTGATGAAAACAAAATTTTTTCGCAACACAAGTCCACCTCATATTCACGTGATATATGGAAACACGCTTATAGAGATCTGTAAGTAATGTTAGCGCAATAGTTGTGGAGACATTTCATTCTGAACTTAAACTGTCAACCAAGATAATTGGAACGTAAGATGTTCACCAATGTTAGTAGAACTCTTCCTCTGGGGATCACGACTATGTGTACCAAAGCTTGTGTCAATCTATCTCGTAGATGTCACGATATTTTACTTTAGAACTGGAAATTTTTAACTTGCTTGTGACGCTGGAGAAAAGATCCTGATGATTCATCCTCTGGGGACCATGAATCTGCACCAAATGTCGCGCAATCTATTAAGTCAATGTTGAGATATTTCACTGTGTGAGAAAAAATTCTGACCTAGAGGAAAAAGTGCCAAAAGACAGCAAGAAACAACCTCAGGGGATCATGAATGTGTGTGCTATATTTCATGACTTTAGAAATGGACTGACTGGCATCATGGTTCCTTGACCCATGCTGCTAGCTTACCTAAAACTACCTGGTTATATTTAAGGTTGCATGAAGCATTTGAGCAAACAGTTAATAGTGTTTTTAAGATCAGCCTTTGTGTGGCGTTTTTAAAGCTTTCACTTGTGTTTTAACAGTTTTAGTAGTTCTGATCAGTGAGGAACTTCTGTCAGATCAGAATTTGTCAAAACAGAGTAGACGATGTTTAAAATGTAATCAAAGGACAACATTGTTTTGTTAATTCACATTATGAACATCCTATGGCTGAAAACACTGCTGCAGTCTAGCTGCTTCCCAGTGGAGCCTAAAGAGCCTTCTTTCGGTCTGTTAAACATGCAAAATCATCTTTGTCTCATATTAATACAAGCAGAGTAGATGATAATATTCACCAAATATCTCTCTGCTCTTCATTCAGCTTTTAATGCAATAGCAGCTCCAGTATCATAAATCAGTTTGGCATGAGAGATAAGATTTTAGCTCTGCGTTTGTATTTCTGTCCGTTCGCATTACAGCCCCGCTCATATACCAAGATCTTGACTAAGCCATTCATGGCTGTGCAAATGTCAGTGGTGTTTTAGGTTAGAAGCAGTTTGTTTCACATTTCAAAATCTAACCCAAGGCTATATTTCTTAGGATGAGACAGTGTAAATGTCATTCAAAAGCAAAATGCCAGAGTGTTCTTTTTATGGCTGACCTCTTTAAAGGTAAACTTTAGAATATTTTAGTCCTTTATGAAGCCCGGTCATGTAAATCCTGTTTGGTTTCACCTCATTTCGACTCACGTTTGCTCTCAAATGTTCACAGGTGCTGTTTATTCCTGATTTCTAAAAAAAGAAAAGGTGTGAATATTTCATACACCATGGCCACAAATTAGTAGGAATGCCCTTTGCACATCTGAATCAAATGCTGACCTAAATCCCACTTATTTAGACTTGTGACTTTCTCCTCCATCTAGATGTAACACAAAATTAGATCCAGTACAAAACTACACACTTTCGGGGTTTTGAAGTCTCACAGATGCCATATGGTTTTGTCAAAAAAAAAAAAGACTCTAGTGGCTCCATCGTGCCTGTTTGTTTGTGGCCTCGTTGCCAACTGGAATATCCGACCGATGACATCTGATCAACAGCTCTTTTAATTTACACCTTCCTCCTCCTACCTACTGCTTATCAGATACCGTGTCCTGCTCAGATCTCAATGCGCAGATCTGACAAATGCGGTTCACCCCGGGTCGGAAAGAGGAAAAACTCTCGGGGGTCTGTATAGCAAGTGAGGTGAGATCATGTGACAGATGGAAACAGCTGATGGCATCTGCAGGCTACCTCTTCAGTGGCTTTGCAAACTAGGCTAACATTACTTATACAGCAGCTTCAGGTGACCTTTCAGTGGGTTTTTTTTCCCCTAAGAACAGCCTGTACAAATTGCATTTACACAAACGTACTCCTTTGTCAAAGGAGAGCTGAGGCGCAGGTTTGTTTTCGGTGCTGTTTTCTTGTCTGTCTGCAAGATTATGCTGAAAAATGATCCAATTTCTTGTTAGTGGAGAACTTGGACAACTCTACATACTGGCTCTATTTAACTGCTTACATATTTAATTAGTTTACGTCTTCTATCTGCTTTGTGTACACTGTCTGCAGCTCAACCAAAAAGTCCTAGAATTTTTGTCTTGTGACTGTTGCTGTGTCACTAACATCTTTACAGTTGTGCTGAGGACAAAAAGTTTTTAGTTTTTTCGAGAATCTGGTTGGAGCAAAAGGTTTGTTTGTGTCAATTTTTTAAAATGAGACATAGAATAAAGTAGTTTTGATGGAATATCTTGGTTTTAGGCTGAGATTTGGTTAAGGAACAGCACATCACAAGCTCAAGGACCATTGGAAAGTTGAAAATCGAACAGTTTTTTCAGCTTTCACAGTTTCCAGCCCTGAAAAATAGTGTAAATTTGGTGTTTTTTTTAAACAAATGCTGTTCAAACCCACCAGCAGGTTTTGGGATTCAGGTAGTTAAAACTGCAAGACAGAACTTTGGCCTTGGTGGAGAACTGCACTCTCCTAGTGCTCATTGAGTTTGAGACTTGTAGTAACTGAGCCAAACCACTTCCTGAAGTTGTTTGACTTTATTACAGTGCCTCCGTTCACACCTGCATTAACTTGTGTTCACACACACACACAAAAACAGCCCCCTTTAATGGTATATATAACAGGAAATTTTCTCAAACCTCTGAGTTCACAAGTTTGTTTGCAGACATTTTCAGAAATACCAGAGGCCATGTAAGTTCAACTTCCAGTGAACGCTAAATTTACATATTGTCATTTTAGTCATGAAGAGTTTCTCTTACGATTTTTATAATGTCGGAGAAACGTGTTGATATTCACAAATGCCTCATCTTTTTATCATCTCTGAATTTCCTACATTGCGTTACCTGTTCATTAGCATGCTAAATGGTTAGTCTCCAGGTCTAGATGCTGGTAGTGGACTCCATGTTGCACCTGTCCAGCAACCGTGTTCACACAACTAACAAACAAAGCTAAATGCCAAGCACTCAGTGTACACAACTTCCCGCGTTATAGCAACAAGCTCAGGAGTTCCATTTGAAAGCAGCATTCTTCTTTATCCAAATAAGACACCCAGATACAGATTCAGAGTCCTAATTCAGCTCTAAATGGAGTCTGAACATGTAATGGGACTAGTCTCCTTAAGTCCAAGAATCTGGCGACATCAGTTTAACCTCTGCAGAGTCACAGTCTTATGAGAGTTCACACCCACACACCAGCTCAGATGATGAGAGGATCATCGAAACAGTTTCAAGATTGCTCAGAGACAACTTAGAAATTATTAGAGAACCCTAAAAGATGTTTAAATGTTGCTTGGAATTCTATAACTCATGGTTCCCTTGCTTTGAGGATGTGCAGAATGTACTTTTGGCTGAAATGAATAAACTTCCCATCAAACATGTGCCCTCCATCCCTCCATGCAGTGCATGCTGGGAGTGGCTGCAGCCCCACCGCGGCCCTGCAAGGAAATACAACTGTTCAAAAAATTAATAGAAAATGAGATTTACAAATCTTCTCTATACTGATGTGAGAATTCAGCTGTGCGGCATGTTTGCGTACTTGTTTCCATGTTGCATGCATACGTGCACATTAAACGTCCCACTGCTAATAAGTGTTGATTCTTCACTGACAATTATTTGAAACTGACAAGTGTTGATTGGGGAGATGTTTGCCCTCTCTGAGGAGCCGCTGGAGCTCCGCAGTGGGTGCTCAAAACTAGAAAACGTTAAATGAAGTCTGGCGGGTGAGGAAACGCTGGCATAGTGTGGATTTTTACACTCCCAGAGGTCAGCTCGGCCCGAGATGTGAAATATGATGACACAGGGATTACATCAACACCATTTCCCATAATTGCCGGCAAGCTAAATGATAATGAGAAGCAGTTATAGTTTTAAAGAAGTATCAGGAGACGGTGCACGAAACAGCTGAGAAACTGTGCACCAGTTTTGCTTAAATCATCAGCAAATTACTACTCAAACGTTTGCCTCGATGGCACAGCAGCAGGTTCAAACCCCCCACCCAGCTCACTTCCACAGGGTGCTATTCTGTAACAGACCCTGACCTCTGACCTCCCTGGGGGCCCTGGTGGATCCCAGTATCACGCTGATATAAGAGGACAAGGAGAATCATTTGAGCAGCTTGTCATTTTCCATCAGCCTGAGTGGCTCTGATGTGCCTCAACTCCGCTAGGAGCAGTGGAGGGTGAACCCACAAAAAGTCAGTGTAAGCTAATGTTAATTCTACAATGCATGAACACAGAAGCAGAATTTTTGTTTTTACAGGAAAGCAGATGAATGACAGCTTATCTGATGATTGATTGGAGGTCACAGTTTTTGCCTTTCTTCCAATCGCCCAATTCCCTGCCTTCAAGTCAATCTGCCTGCTGGTGGAATGAAAGCTATGAATCCATCGGCTTTAATCCCTCCCACAACAAACACAGTTAAGTTGTTAAACGGAAACATGGAGATGTTTAATTAAGAAAAAAAAAGAGGAGAAACGGTGCAGCTGGGAGGCCTGTGGGACTGTGGCAGGGGTTTATTGCAGCGCCAGGACCGGGGTCTGCGAGAGTGTTAACAGCAGTCATTGCACAGGCAGCCTGCATAGGGAATACACACCACACACACACACACACACACACACACACACTTTGCTGCTCTGATCTGCTGCAGTGGCGGAGTGCACCGGGATACACGCTCCAGCCCGCAGATACAAAGCGCATTAGGTGTGTGTTAAAACATGAGGTGCAGGAGCCCGTGTGCGTAAAGACGAATAAACACGAAGGACGGTGGAAGAAATTCCCACTTTGAGTAGTGCTGAGGTGTTAAACGGCAGGACCGAGGCAGCAGACAGGACGTCCACACATCCATTCACATGATTTATTCTCTGGGTAGATGGAACAGAAACACTCACCGATCTGAACGCTGCTCGGGAAAGCTCCCATCGTCAGTCCCCAAAAGCCAGAGAACATCAACAGAATCCAATCGCGGGAAGAAATCCTCATTTTGTTTCGGTTATAAACTGATGAGAGACATCGAGCAGGTTTAATTAACACCCCCGGGGCAAAGCAACATCACAAGGTGGAGGGGGAAAAAAACAAAGAGATTTTTTTTTTTCTTTTTACAAAAATAATGATAATAGTAATAAACGCCGGTTAAATATCCATGTCTGCTTTGAATGGCTTTTTCTCTTGGAGATCCCCCCGCAGTGCCGCTCGTTTGTACCGTCAAACTGCGTCCGTCCGTCCGGCGCTGGAGATTTTGCGCACAACACCACCAAGATGAGGAGGGAGAGAGGAGAGAGGAGAGAGGAGGGAGGGGGGGCATCAGCCAGCGGCGGCCAGTGCGTCTGGATGCGGCTCAACTCACATCACAGCAATAACACACATGCGCCTTTTACCCGACCGGGGCAGGCAGGAGGGGCGGCAGGCAGGCAGGCAGGCAGCCCGCTCAGCGGCACCGAGCGGCGGACAAAGTCTCCGCAGCTCCGTTAACACCAAAAACTTCCAGAACCGCTGACACGAACATACACGGAGGGAGTATGAGCGGACCGATGCCTGACAGGAGATGTTGTTTATTCCGCTACCACAGATCAGCAGATAAATGTGAATGCAGGAGCAGATAAACACACTAATCAGAAGCGGCTCCAGTCACTCCGCCTTTAAGGTGCCATTTAAAATGCGCAAATTGCCCCAATTAACGGGATTATAATGAGCGAGCCGGAATTCATCTGCGGGGTTTGTCTTCCGTGAACTGCTTTTCTGTTTTGCATTGAAATAGCTGCACTCTGGCCAGTGGCGGATCCAGACTGTGTGGTTGGGGTGGCCAGGCTCAGGCTGTTTACTCACTCTGAGGTGTGAAGCTGAAGTGAAGGGAAACTAAACCTAAAGTGATGAAACCCTGTTAGACATTTGAGGTAAACCCTTAACGCTGTCTGAAAGCCACTTTAAAATGTGTGAAATCTTCATTGTATTCCTGAAAATGCAAAAAGTTGAGATTTTGCATGTTTTCCTGCACATAGACAACATTAGACCAGGTGTAGATCTAAAACTGTTTCATATAGACTGGAAGAATCTGGACTAGATTTTGTCAGACAGCCTAAAAAATCTCTAAAATACAGTATCCGGTCTTGTAAATATGCAAAACAGGGAGATTCCACAATTCATGATCGCTCTGTTTGCAGTTGCACAAATAAAAACTGAGTCAAGTCTGGACTAGATTTTGTCAGAGAGGCTAAATAGTCTTTAAAACATGATCTCTGATTCATTAGAGCTTCATTCTATTTGTGCAAGTTGCAAAAACAATGGAGATTTGACATCTATTGTTGCACATAGACCACATTACACCAGGTCTAGATCTAAAACTATTATATATAGAATGGACAAATGTCAACTAGATTCTGTCAGAGATGTTAAATAGTCTTTAAAACACGATGTATGATCTGTGAAGTCTGTGTTTTGTTTGTGAAAAAGCAACAACAAAAAAGGTAATTTTCCCGCTTGTTGCTGCATGTAAACCACATTACACCAGGAGCCTGTGCTACGAAGCAAGACCAACCTAGGATATCTTTCAGAGATCCAGCTTGACTAACCCTAACAATCGCACTCAGGATAACCGGTCCTACGACGGTGGTCATCAACTTGTTAAGTCAACCCAGGTTGTCTGATCTGAGTATAGCCACGTGCACATACAATGGGCAGCGTTATCGGCGGCTGAACAGTCACGACTATGGACAAGTCTGGCTGCAGAGCGGCTCACTTTACCGCCGAGGAGCAGAATACAATCTTTACAAAATATGAAGAATATAAAATCATCATAGGAGCAAAAAGCAGCACTGTTGCAGCGGCCAAAGCCAGGAAGGAACGCTGGCAGAAAACTGCTGACTGTCTGAATGCACAAGTTCATTAGTTTATAATATAATAAAATATA